GGCGGCGCGACCCGCCTCCGTGGCTTCCCGAGGCGGCTCCCCTGCCGAAACACGGGGGGACGCGCAACAGCAACGGCCTGTCCGAGGAAGCTCGCAAGAGGCGAGTGGGTTGTGGGGGGGGGGGCGGCTAAACCCGGAAGTGGCGTGTCCGCCTCCAGACGTTTCTTTATACACGTGAAGGGGAAAAAAAACCCGAACGCTTTTCAGGGCGCAGCAGGACGCCGAGACATCGCTGGATCCCGGCACGCGGTACCTTCTTTTTCTCCAGGCCGCCCATCGTGGTCGCAGCAGCCGCTTCTCCCCGCCGCCTCCACCCGCGTGGTGATCCTGGCTGGCCGGCCGCGCTAAGCCCCGCCCCTTACGTCACCCCTTCTAGGGTGTTTCCATCGCTGCCTGAACGAGAACCCTAAGGGGTGTTAGGACCTCGGAAGTACTGTGAACTGTATGGATTCCGCGGGGCAGGAACATGTGAGGCTTATCGTTGTTGGTCACGCCGTGAAACTCCGGCGAGGCAGCCGTTCTGAGCAGGCATAAAATTAGAAGACCGGAGGGGGCCCTCTGAAGAAGGTCCTCTGGAGAGCGCAGAGCATGATGGGGATCGGCTGTCCGTGATAGAAATGTAGAGATAGAAAGACCTCCTAGTGCAACGCGATTAAGCCTTCCGGGTCTGTGGTTAGAGATAGGAAAAGTGAAGACTGATACTCAGGGCTGCTCTTGTGGGTTTTGTAGGCGGGATTCGCCCTTCATCCTAAACCTACGGCTTGGTTCGGTTTGTTCTCTGCCGTGTGGCACGTGGATTCGGCTTTTCCAGTAAACCATGGTTAAATAAACCACGGCTTAGAACGCTGCCCACAACTGGAGAATATGCAGCAAGGGAAAATATATCCATAACAGAAGTCTAACCCAATTTATATTGCACATTAGACAGCAGGGCGAATTTAGACATGTGGAATATGGTTTTTAGGGAGAAAGTTACGAGACCAGTTAAGAACAATAGATGAAGGGATTTAAACAGATACTAGCGATACTCTTTAATATTTCATCTCGGTTGTGGTCAGTGGTTGGGGAAATAAATGGAAGGCGAGAATGTGTCACTAGAAAGTTCCCCATAACGTTTTTACTTATGTTTTATTTATTATTTATTTATTTGTATTATTTATTATTTATTTATGTTTTATTTATTAGTCGCTTCTTTTTGTATTATTCAGCTGTTAAGATCCAATGAGGACCTTTTTTCCTTTGTATTTTATTATCCTGATAATAAAAATATTTTAAAAATAGAAACCGCCCAGAAGTCACTTTTTCATGAGATGGGCGGTATCTAAATTTGAAATAAAAATAAATAAATTAAATAAATACAAAAACTCAAGCCTGCTGCGATTTTCTCAAGGATTTTCTCCTTGAGCCATCATGCAATGCACCTTGTGTGAACAACATCAACCATTGTTTATGGATTAGAAGCCATGGTTACGGGTGAGCGTGCTGCCTCAAGCCAACCTTCGTGGCTTAGAAACCAACAACGGTTTTGTTGCAACGCACCTAAAAAGCTTACGAGAGCCTCGTGGTAAGTAGCGCTCCAGCACTAGCTTTATCTTTTAATTCTTCATTGGTCCTTCTAAACGACTGGAACGTGTGAATGAGAAGAATGATGAGATAAAGAACGCTTTGTATAATGGCTCTAGAGCTAAATACATTTTTATTTGCCAGATCACATATCTGTGAACTGCAATGTATGAAAACTCGTATCGTTTACACCAGTGTTTGTCGAAAAAAATCCCCTCCTATTTAAAATTTTTGGTCTTTTATCCTCTATTCATCCCCCCCCCCCGCGTGCTAGGTTCTGTTTGTGTTGTTTTTATCT